CCAACGGATAGGATAACATGGTTTTTAACCCTAATATTTAACCAGTTGTTGAAACACATCCCAGCCCATCTTACGAATACCCAAATGTTTCTGGCTCATCTACGTACTGCGCAGCCCAGCAGCGCGTACGTGATGGAGTCCTTCGACGTTACCACCCTTTATACAAACGTGTCGAATGACTCCGCAATGCAAGCCATATTCGAACTCCTTACACAACACGAAGGAGAAATAAACATGTATGGCTTCAGGATAGAGCACCTGATGGCACTCTTAAAAAAATGCTTGAGCTGCTCAATCTTCAGATGGCCTGGAAAGTACTACGCTCAAATAAGAGGGTTGGCAATGGGACAACGACTGGCTCCAAGCCTTGCCATTGCATTTATGTCTAAGGTGGAAGCACCGGTGACTGATCTCGGGCCGCTACTCTACTGTAGTTATGTAGACGACTGCTTTGTCCTTTGCTCAACACAAGAGGAAATAGACAAGTGCTTCGAATTGTTAAACGCACAGTCAGAGTATATCAAGTTCACCCGAGAAAAGCCGAAAGAAAAATGGCTTCCATTTTTGAACGTCCTGTCAGAAAACGGCTACATTACGAAATGGTATCGAAAGCCAAGTAGTAAAAACAACTTGGTTCATTACCTCTGCTCTCATCCCTCTCACACGAAAAGGGCGCTTGTAAGAAACATGTTTCTAACAGCAACTAACGTGTGTAAGGGAAGAGAGCAGAAAGAGGAATCCCGGAACTTGGTGCGACAAGTAGCCATTTCTAACGGCTACGAAACTGTAACTCGGGATAGGTGTAAGAGAAATTGGTAGCTCCCAAACGGTAACTCTAGCGACAAAAAGGTCCCGTTTATCCTACCCTTGATCTCAAATGGTGTAAGTGCAGCTATAAAACGCTGCTTAAGAAGGGCGGATCTAGAAAATTCGGTAACGATAATTGAAACGCCATTGAGTAATCTAAGACGCCAGCTAGTTCACTACCGCTTTTACGACCATCTATGTGCAATGCAAAATTGCATAATTCTCCCCAATGGTAGAGACTGTGATTGCATGAGTTCGGGAACAGTCTATCTGATCTCTTGTAGAGCGTGCGAAGACGAATTCGTTGGCGAAACGGGTAGACCACTCTGCGTACGTATAAAAGGACACCTAGTCGGCAAGCGTAGACCAAATACTTCACTAGGCACGCATAGGACGCATCGACAAAACGGGGAGGAATTTGAAGTACGTGTCATGATCCTCGCACAGGAATCAAGAACACACGCGCGCAAAACTCTCGAGGCGTTCTGGATTAATTCCAGAAATCCGAAAATGAACCGCATGGAAGAATGCCTCATTATCAGGCGTGATATAGGGCAGTATAGAAGACTGTTGGTCTGATGGGAGGGGCACATTATGCTTCCATGTGATTTCTGCGCAGTTGGTTTTCACGCGGCATACTTAGTGGAAACCTCATAGAAAGCGCTGAGTGTGCAAAGCTGTGTTCAATGTCATCGAAATCTTGGTTTAGAGTTTTCTTTGTATGGTTATGGAGGTGTTCGGCCGAATAGATTGCTGTCAACTTGACCCTTGAAGGCTCTGAGAAAGGCGAAATCTGTCTATCGAAACGTCAGCTTTTTCGTGAATAAAGAATAAAAATATCACCTCGCGTTTGCTCAAAAAGAATACGAAGAATGAACGTAAAAGCTCTACAATTGTATTTGCATGGAAGTGAAGACATTTCTGATGCAGTAAAGCTTTCCAGTCACTCACTATTGAAAAGAAAGATTTTTGAAGTGCAATATGAATCCTGCGAGAATTAACAATGTAGAATATCAGTGTTCTGGAGCGGACTTTGGCCAGGCCAACCTCGGGACTTCAGGGAACCATAATGACTTAACTAGCAAATCTCCGAAAAATGGAGATTATGCTGGGGCCCGCACAACCAGTGAAGACGGGCCATTCAACTATCAAGTAAGTAAAACCAATGTCGTCCTAGACGATTAAGCAAACATGAGATTGGTATAAAAGCTTTATTCGGTTAACATTTTGACCCCTTGGCCTTCTTTAGAGATGGATTCGAGTCGCTGATCCACAGCTGGCCATTGTCGTTATGTGGATGTTCGCCCCCTGTCGACTGTAGGAGAGTAATCTGAGTGGAGGTAGCACCTCTACCCGTGCTTCGAAGTGGTTGTAAGAGAATACGAAAAACTTGTACTAAAACTTTGCAATATGTATACTTATATATAACTTCCATAATGCTGAGATATTTGCAAAACTCCGGACAGCAGGTGTCTGCGGTGGAGAACGAACGCACTATTGTCCTTTCCGGGAGTAACGCGTTCACCACCACATCATGCGAATCTTTCGTTTCGCCTGTCTCTCAGCTAGTTCTACCGATCTTTTGCATCAACAATCACCCGTGAACGGGATTGATCTGGGGAGCCCAAATCGGCGTTGAACCCAGTTAAGCTGAGGCCGATTTGGGCTACCCAGACCAATCCCGTTCCTGGTGATTGCTGATGGCAAAAGGTCGATAGAACTAGCTGAGAGACAGGCGAAACGAGGGACCAGCATGGTGCGGTGGTGAACGCGTTACTCCCCGGAAAGGACAGTAGTACGTTCGTTCCCCACCGCAGACACCTGCTGTCCGGAGTTTTGCAAATATCTCAGCATTATAGTAGTTATATTTCGCAAATACCCTGCTAAAAAAGAATAGGCAGTAAATAAAAAGGTTAAGATCGTGATTATACTTATATGTTTGAACACTTTGTCGGTCCGTCTTCACTGGTTGTGCTAGCCATAGAGCAATTTCCACTCTTTCGGAGTTTTGCTGGTTTAGCCTTTGTGATTCTCTGGAGTCCTAAGGTTAGCCTAGCCAAAGTCTGCCTCAAGTCCTCACCAACCACAAGCAGTCGCCGCCCTTGTGAATCGGAGAGAAATTTGCTAACATCCAACTCGTTCGATACCAGGGCGGTGGTGGATCCCTGTTTTCGTTTACTCTTTGTTGAGCCTCCTGATGGAAACGCTAGACTCCTTCTCAACTTGGGAGGCCCCGCCGAAGAATGAATCCCCTCCACTGTGCATCGCACCCCGACACCCGCGAACACCTCACAGCCCAGCTACGACGAGAAAGAAAACTGTTGGTAGCTGTAGTATGCATATATATATACATATATATGCTTTAGTAATAATGACATATATTTTGGTAACAGCTGCAATACAACGAACCAAGACAAAAAAGGTGTTGCGATTCTCACGGCATGTGGAGTTGGGTCGTATGTATTAATGAATTAGCAACCCTGGCAGTATTGGAATTTATTCGGTGATCTATGACGGGCAGAATCATTGCATGATTCTTTCTAATTCAAATCACTGGAAATTTTCAGAAATATCCATTTCAAATCCATTATTTCTCGCCGTCGGCTTGTTGTATGGTTAAACACTGTTTATAGCTCTACCAAACATGTTATTTTTGATTTCGCTCAGAATTCTCATTGATTTTCGACTACTCGGTTCTACTTATTTTTTCTGAAATGTGATGTTTGGTCACGGCATGATCATTTCAGCATGAAAGCCCGTTTGTTATTGTTGGCGTTTATGTGCCCATCTCTGCTTGCTATTCGGTGCTACGATTACTTAAGTTCAAACGAAAGCCGATATCCAATGAAATCCTGGGTAGGTCTTTGGCTAGAACTCATCAAAGCCCCCACTTAGAAGGATCTAACTGTTCTTACCTTCTTGGAGTTTTGTTGATTCAGGCATAGCTCACCATCATATCTACTTTAAATCTTAGCGAATAATTGAGTTATGACAGATTTTTAATGAGGAATGAAAATCGGGGCTGTCATCACTGAAAAAAGTGCTTGTAAAGCGATGTTTCTCGTAGATACCACGGTCCAGCCTTCTTTTATCGTTACTGGAGAATGACACATGAGATGAGTGAAATGACACAAAAATAACTTTCTTATGGAAGTGTTTTTTCACCGAACTCTTTTAACATTCTCGTGACGAATGACACTCCTGGGTTTCATAACGATTTTGCGGCAGTGGGCGGTAGGAAGCTTTTAGGTGTTATCTTCATTCCAGCTGTTCATATTGGTGTACAGAAATTTTTCCCAAGCTTCTTGCAATCAATCGATAGCTTATCGAAAGGAGATGCTATGGTCGGCATCGTCCATAGGAGGATATGTTCTTAATAATTTTCCACTAATTTCTCTTTTCGAGGCGAGAGACTGTTGCTGCTAAAGAGGGTTGCGGCAGAGGGAGTGTAGCCATTGAAAAGGCGCAAAAGTGACTATGCCTCGAAGAACTAGCAACACATGCGGTGTGTAGCATCATTTTTGATAAGCAGCCCGTGGTTTTTTATTTTCAATCGCTACGATAACTTTTTTGGTAATGTTTGGAACGGGAGGTTATCAAAACTGAAAGATGAGCATCGTATTACTCCTTGCAGAACTTATACAACTTCTATATAATGCTGAGATATTTGCAAAACTCCGGACCGCAAGTGTATGCGGTGGGAAATTAAGCCTCAACTTAACTGGGTTCAATGCCGATTTGGGCTCCCCAGATCAATCCCGTTGACGGGTGATTGCTGATGGCAAAAGATCGATAGAAATAGCTGAGAGAGAAAACGAAGGACCCGGATGGTGTGGCGGTGAAGTGCGCTACTCCCCGGTAAGGACAATAGCGCGCGTTCGTTCCCCACCGCATACACCTGCGGTCCGAAGTTTTTCAAATATCTCAGCATTATATACGAGTTATATTTCGCAACATACCACGCCATTAAAAAGAAAAAGGCAGTAAATAAAAGGGTCACGCAAGAATTGTATGTGCACAGAAAATATGGGAAGATGTGTAGAAGAATATAGAGCATACATAGGATAAAGGAAGCGCAGAATTTTTCTTGAAACGCAGGGATAAATCGATTTATAGAAAGCGAATTACGACTAAGAGGCAAGGCCACTCAAAAACTACTGAATTGGCCAACGTGACACCTATAGGTATTAATACTGAATGTAGTCAAAAATTATACATCGTTCACCCTGCAAAAACGAGATACTAGGTGTCGTCGCAAGAGTGTTAAAGGTCCACTGAATGACATCATAAATCTGTTTCCCTTCGCTCCACGTTTCTCTATCTTAAAAATGTTAATTTTCTCTGAAATTTTCTAATTCCTTGTTTTTCATGTCGAATGTCCAAATGACACGCAGTTTTGCTTCAAGAGCTACATCGAGCAGGAAATATTTCCCAACGAGAAGACTTGGTTAGAGAATCGAAGTTGCGAAATCCCTGGTGTTTGCCTGGTGAGTCCCTGACACACTTACATCTCAAACATGATTTCAGTTTTTTATTGCAGTTCTATGATACCACATCTCTACTCTACGAAGAACAACTATTATAGGAAACGCATTACAATGCTATCATTACCTATACAGGAATAGTTGAGCTTTCGCAAAACAATTCGCAAATGCATAAAGCGTTCGGCTTCATCTATTTCATAGAATTGCGCTATGCATTTGACTACATTCGTAGATATGCTTGAATGTACATCTGGTCTATACAGTGTTTTGCGGTGGCCTCTTGATGTGTGAAATCAGTGTTGCTATCCACCTACACAAGTCTGATACCAAGCTGTCGACCGCAAATGGATGATAGGCTTGGCTAACCACGAACACGTGGCTGAACTAGCGACATGTTATTAATAGGTATCCGTGTAGAAAGTATAGATGTAGAAATTCCGGTTTCACGACTTTGTTTCAATTTTTTCATGATATTCGCAAAAATTAGGAACTGTTTACCGATTTCCTTTCTTTCTTATAACTGCTCTGCCGAAGCTAAATGAGGCCACATCATACGCCATCATGTAGCGGAAGATTACGTAAACTCAGAGCAAAGGCGATCTGTACCTGGCCATGTGTCCAGCAGATATGCTTTGCGTCTCTGCTGCACCGTGTTCACTTGTCTGTTCCGTTGTTAGTAACATTCATACACATATGGGCAGCTGTGCTTACGCTCGTGCGAATTACACACTGAATGGATGTTAACTCACAATTAATTAACGGAGAAATAAATGAAGACCAGTTTGGAGGTTCCTTCAAAAATGTGCTTGCCTTCATCTCCAAATGAGCACTAAAAGCTACCCTTGAATACGTTTAGCCGTTCAAAGGAGAGCTCATTGTAGCTTCGTATCTTCTTGAAAACAAAAATCATTTGAAACTGAGTTTAAGCTTTATTGATAAGCTTACACGATGTTGTCACAACTTTTTATTGTGGTTGACCTCTTCAAAAAATCACATTCTGGAAAGCTCTCGACTTCAATTCTAGTCAAGGATGCATAGAAGTTTTTTTGTTCTTAAAGTGTGGGTCTTCATAGTCGTTACCTTGAGTCGAATCGAGTACAGTGGAGCGCCACACAGAAGAAATAGTGCTATCCAGTACTGCCTTTCAGCAGAGGGCCAGTCGCGCTAGAATGGTCAGTTCGAGGACGGTATTCAAACGATTGCCAACCAAGATTTTTCGTTTTTGCTAAAAACCCACCGTGAAGGGGAATAGTAGTGGCTGGCTTATAGCAAAACAATATTTTGAAAATCAAGGAAGATATCTCAAGAAGAAGTAACTATTGTTGACACTCGATTCGAACCATCATGGTTCTGATGAAAGCGAAACCGCCTAAATATTAACCATAAAAAGACTCTTAACAACCTCGCATAAGCTTATTAGTAAACTAAAACATAGTATCCATTCCAAGACTAAGTGAAAGCCGGTATTGAATAGAAATTTTTTGAGGAAAAATATGACGAAATCCGTTGCACTCGAGCAAGCGGGTAATAATAGTGATAAAGCCACATTCTGGCAACGAGACTGAATGAATTGTCCCGAAAAGACTACATTTCCATTACTGCAAAAAGCCTCCGAAACGAAACCTTAGGCAGTACAAATTCGGAAAGTCCAACAGAGTTCTAAAACCTAAAATGTGAATAGACATGCCAAAACCAAATGGTTACTGAAAAGTTCAATGTCGATATGATGATTCAAATATAGTAAGTCCCTTCGTGAAATAAAGTAGTTCGAATCAGTTAAGAAAATGTTGCGTCACTCCATCGGACTGAATGAGCTAGAGAAACGATGTTCGTAGAACATCGACTCTTGAACAACCAGAAGTTCAAATCACGTTAACGGTTGAAAATGTGTGAACCAGTGCAACATTGGGAATCCTGCTCAGCGATCTCTAACCGAGTTTTATTTAACCTGTGTATACAAGATCAATGTATCTTGTACCATTGGTGAGCTAACACCACGTTGTTACCTAATATTTATTCGGCTAACGTTTCGACTTCTTCATCTCCTTCAGAGCCCATGTTCCGAGTCGATGTCCACAACTGTTCGTGTTCTCGAGGTGGCTTCATCGCACATCGAGCCAGATCTTCCTCAGCGGAACATCTCTTTTGAATGAGCCATACTAACTTTTCCATCACTCCGACGTCAACAAATTAGTACCAAACCTGTCTTCAAGGGTAGCAGCAGTGACTCTATACATCGATAGTCCAACGTCCACCAGAACTCGTTGTGAAGGACAGGTATACATTCAATCAACACTAGCGAAGCATAGTGTAGTCAAATGCATGGCACATGCCTCAGAGATTGTTCTATGCCGAGAGTTTTATTTATTTATTACTTATACACATTTTTACTCTGGCCTTTATTACGCTCTCTAAAGTATTGACTTACATTTTTTCATGGAATATCGGTATATACTCTCTTTCGGAATACCAATCAGGATCATGCAGGAGCTTCTAAGCATTTCACTGAAGCTTCACTGTCTGTATGGAAATAGGTTAATAATGACACCGTCGTTTTTCCAGTGGTGGATTTTTGCTTAAAAAAGCACCTGCTGAGGCCAGTGGATGACTTAAATAGGTTCTCTTTTGTCCTGTTCTCTGTAATAGGCAAAATCTTATTACATTAGTCACTCCGAACGAGAACGTTTCGTCTCACAATTTGGAATGTGTCGGTTCATGGCCACATATGCATTGAATAACTTCTACAGTACTCAGTGAGGCCGAATGCATGTTGCATCTCTCATGCATTGATCAATGCCGAACTCTTCATCCTTTTTTATTCTTTATTCTATTACCAAAGTTTACGCTAGACAGCTGCGTTTCTTACAAGTACCTCTTAAAATCTCTTGCGAAGTCATTGAACTCATTCATTTTTTTAACGACAGACAGTAAGTTCGGTGAAAGGCAATAAGTTAGAATTAACTAAAAGATGAAAGATTTATGCAATTTATGCATTATTCCAGGAAGAAGGATGCTCGAGAATAAGCAGTGACATAAGCTGTTGTTGCCGAGGTGAACTATGTAACTCCCACCGAGATTATGGTGTTTCCGTACCGATTTCCTTCTTGTTTTACTCTTTATTCGTTATGTGATGTTGTTCTATGATTGTCAACGAAGTATCAGAATTTCATGGATGAAAACTAACGCTACGTTATCGGCCTTTCGCACTTGCACGTATAGTTTGAGCTTCATAATGGATCATATTCCATTATAAGCATCACGTAATGATTGGGAAAATAATGATGGACCCATCGATCTTGATTGCCATAGAGCGACTTTTCAGAAATCGTTTCGAACATTACTGTGAAAATCCTTACGTATGCTGAGACGGCTTTCGGCCGAACCATCCACCCTACCAATGAGGGTATTTTCTAACTAACCTCCGGCGGACATTAAGTGTAGTTGGATCTTTAGTGTTTCTTGTTTCTTATCTGAATTAAACCGCGTACCGTTTTCAGTTCTTCCTCTCTAACTTACAATTTTACAACTCATCTAGACTAAATATACGATATGATGTCTATCTCGTGTTTATTTTCACCAATCGTCGACACACTCTCTCTCTTATTGGTCTCTGTCTTGGAAACATGTGACAGACATCTATTAGCCAATGAAATAAGCGACATGCGTCCAGTCTCGTTGACCAATAGCGAGAAAGGGCGTGATCTTGTTGGTGTTACATAACTGCTTCAACGTGTGCTTACTGTAGATGCTAGTTGTTCTCTGTGTTTTTGTTGAATAGGAAATTCTCTTTTACTCTTTCCCTTCATCGTTTCCAGAAATCAGTGATTTGCTTCGTTCCATTAGGACGCGTCTACCCAGAAACGCTAACCAGTATTCTTGTTAAAAAGGTTCATATGTATAACATGTAATATCAATTGTATTATTTATATATGCACATATGTAATATTGATTCGTTTGCACAATAATAATAATAATAACAGTGACCACGACATGCTTCGAATAATATCACAAAACACGCGTCTAGCGACGTATCCCGGGCCAGAAGGACACGATAACGAACGAAGCACACACTGCATTTCGTAATGCGAATCACAGGGTATTTTTATATGTGAAGTTTTCATTTGAGAGTAAAAAAGGCAAAATCTGAGATATTCAGTAAAATTCGTTAGATGCTCCTCCCACTAAACAAATGCATCGTCGACAGGTCAACACAGGAAAAATCGAGTCAAAAATTCAACGGAATAGTTCGCGTAGGTTTGCAACGACACAGAGGGAGGTGCAACATGTCGGTTTGTCGCTCGTTGAATCGGTCGCGATCGCTGTCTATTTCCTATTCGATCGACGAAGTGGTAATGCAATAGACGAGCCTAAGTGGATAATGGAAATCATTTTCTTCGTCTGTTAAATTCACCGATTATTTCTAAAACACCTTAGAAAAGATTACATGCAAGAGCGGAACAACAAACGAGCCCACGATGTAAGAGGTGCGAAGAAAACACTTGTCTAGTGCAAAAAAGAAACTTGCATTGTGTGATTTTCAACTAGTGTTCATTTTCAAAGCTTTCTTGCCTTTAAAAAGGCTAAAAGCTAGCCATTACGCCAATAACGAACTTTCGCAGCCTATAGATAGTACGAATTTCTTCAATGTGCGAAATTCCTGCTTAACAGATTTGGGATGATGAGCATTCATTCCATTTCATTTCCTTGTTCTTTTTACCTTTCCTTGCGATACCTTCCCTTCGTACTGAATCAATAATTTTCCACACCTTGTTCTTCTAAAGACCTTGACAAACGATTTCTTATTGTAGAGAAAATAACGATAACACTAAGACGTGCCCGATCCAAATAACCTGCCAGGCCACAGGCATTGAATTCAATGCACGCAGCGAGCACGGAAAAACCTAGCGTAGCCATGGGAACGTTAAGCTACGAAGACGAATCTAGCGGCTACTTTATTTCTTACAGTTTTTCTGTCGCTTACCTTCAAGAATAATCATTGCGGTAGCGAGATCTTCACCATAGGGATTTCGTACGGTGCATAAGTACTCTCCAATATGCTCGTTAGCCAGGAACACCACAGACAACGTTGAACTGTCCGCGCCATCGATAATAGAATAACCACCGACGCCTTCAATAAAACGTATAGGCTTGGATTACAGTAATGAAAACATAACAGAAACAACTGGATAAACCTCATGATAGTTGGAGGCCTACTGTGTATCAGTACGAAAAACGTTGACATGTCAAAAATTCCTTGCTCATCCTCCGTTACATAGCATAATCGCTGTTGTTTAAAACTAAGCATGAAAGTGGAAGTGCTACTACGTTGGAATTTTCTACTACCACGGGTTGAATTCTACATGAAAAATGTTTATTAATAGTTCATAATTGCCAATAAAACCTCCAACTGCTAAAGTAATGCAGTCGAATGAGGCGTTTCTACGATGCGTTTCATCGTGAGTTCGTTACTTGTAGGGGTATAAAAATAATTTTATCAGGCGGTCTGGAGGCATCCCACCTCTTTGGAAGTTAATGTGTACTCGGTGCCAACTTCTAAACTATAAGAGAAAGTGGTGGGAAACCTAAATTAAACAAGCAAACGCCATTAACTTTGCATTTTTAATGTTTCCATCGTCCGTAATCACTTAACACAAATTTTCACCAAAGTCAATTTCCTAAACCGTACTTTTCTCCCTACTGTGCAGTTCTTCGTGCAAAAGTTTAATTGATTCCAGGCTGACTATACGAAATAAATGCTCTAACAAATTACGCGATTGATAAATATTATGATATTCGGAAAACTTGGCTTCTATACGAAGTTGTGGCATACAACGGGCAATGTGCACTGATTTCAATGCAGCCCGCAACACAGCTGAAACTGGATTTGGTAGCAGAAACCGAAATACTATACTGTCGTGAAAAAATCACAATCAAAACTACTTTTAACAGCTTGAACACGGTGGCTCATTTCATACATCACGCTGTTTACCAAATATAAATGTTTGCTATAGGAATAAGAATCATTGTGCTTAATCGATTTCAAAGCAGTAGGAATTGGTTGTGAAACTTACCAGAACCTAGTAGATTCGATTACCTGTTCTATTTGAATCACGAAATCAAAAAGCTTCTATTATACGATTAAAAACCCACCATCCTCCAATCCAACGTCACCCTTGAACCATCGACATACAGCCGGTGGTGTGCCAACAAAACGAGCCAGTAATTCTACACGTTGCCCAAGACGAGATTGCACAGATACCGGTGTGTGTGTGAAACGGGGTCGCATTGTAGACGAGCTGTAATGAGATCTATGACATAGCTCAACATTACACGCCAAGGATATTATCGCTTTATTTTCTCCTTTTTTTCCTCATGAGGTTTATTATCGCTGCAAATTAATTGTAAAGACTTGATTTTCTCCCTGTTTCAAAAGAAAATTTTATGGAATTAAAGAAACCTTGTAGGTTCGGTAACCAACAGCTCGAATTTGGCATGTGCTTCACCGGCGACGTTGACGGCTGTTAGAGAGTACTTCCCACCATCAGTACGAACAACGTCCTTCACACGTAACGAAAATGAGTTTCCATCATTACAAATCTGAAACAAATAGCGAAGAATTCGGTGCTGTTCTCATTACGTTTTAAGGAAATGGGTAGCACAGATAAAACCAACTCAGAAGATGTAGAAAATATCTACGTGAATATGCAGAGCTAAAAAGTTATTAGTTTTGTATTTTAGAAGAAAAACCTATTGGCCCAAATACTTACAGTAAATTTTTCGCTGTTCGTAATTGGTGTGCGTTCTTTAGTCCAAGCTATCACCGGATCAGGATGACCAGTGACATGTGCGTTCAATTCTGCTTCCTCACCGGGAGCAACTTTGACTACAGTTGAAACATTTGAGATTCTCGGTGGTTCTTCGGCAAGCGAACGTTCATGACCTAAAAAACAAGTTTACTATCATATCCATTTACTCACATGGTTGCAGACAAATTTCTGCAATAAATTTTGTATTATAATGCTAACTTTCAAACATTAATGCAATACCAGGTATGGACCGAGGAAAGCTATTTTCCACACATTATAATCAACAACGACTGGTTTTTCGACGAGTTTGTTCGTCGCACTGAGTTTCGCAGCTAGAGATCGTTGCTGATTAGAAGGGAATTGTTTTCAAGACGCCCTGGCAAAATTCGGAAGATATTTATTGACCAAAAATTATTTCAACTCTATCCATTTCATTATCCTATTACTATAGTAAATACCGAAACTACCATATTTTTTTTGCATCGACGGGAAAGTACGCTTAAGTTACGCTTAAGTAACTAGATCTTCCCAAAGATTTCCTCTATGCTGGGTGAGTTATACTATTCAGATTTACCAAGATGATAAATCTGAGCGGTTTTGTAGCAGTGAAGAAACTAACTGTGCACGTCAAGCCTCATGATGCATCTGGCGGTACCCCATTGATTCCTAGCCTCTACCGCATACTCTCCACTATCCTCAGGGAAGGCGTCGGCAATCACTAGACGAACGTCAGCTCCTGCACGCTGATATTGGAAAGATTCCGAATCAGTGATAGTAACACGATTACGAATCCAACGAATTTGGAGTGGTTCAGAGCCTGAACTTGAAGTTTTAAACAAAAAAATATGCAACAGAGTAAAAAGGAGGGACTGCGACACTGCGCAAAATTTTCGGAATTCTACAATTTCATTTTAAAATACAGCCCTAATCCACAAAACATTAACCAAAATTACTTCCCGTATATTCTTAACGTATGAATAGCTGCAGATTAAGCCATTTTCTCCAAAAATTTTAGCATAGTTAAAGCGACTTCTGCTGCATTGCTAAGTGCTTACACAGTGACTCTTGATTGCTTAGAACAAACGTTAATCAGAGGAAGTAAATGTCGAAGGCTTTCCCTAATAGGATAGTACTTCGATGTTTTGTTCTGGATTTATCATTGACTAGTCTTTGCAGCGTTTGGATAGACGTCGTCATTCAAAAGAAAACTTTATCGCATTTAAAACGCTGTTCTTTAATATCCTACCAACGGTTTACAGCCTCATCGCGGCCGGGAGGTATTCCTGGGTGTTGGGCGATGTACAGCGGGGGATTCACCCAACTGACAGGGTTTCCCAATCTGAGGAGTCCGACGTTCTCATCAGGAAGCCCAGCAAAGAGTAAACCAATACCAGAATCCACCACCGCTCTAGTATCAAACTGGTCGCATGGTGGCAAATCTTCCTCTAATCCACAAGGGCTGCGACTGGCCAAGCTGGTGAAAACTTGAGGCAGACTTTGGCCAGGTTGACCTCGGGATTCTAGGGAGCCACAATGGCTTAACCAGCAAGTCTCCGAAAAGTGGAGATTATGATGGGGCCCGCACAACCAGTGAAGACGTACCATTCAAGTATCAAGTATCAAGCAAGTTTAATATAATCGTAGAACTTCTGTGTTGGACCAGCTTATGCTGTTTCGATCGTGCCTGCTAGCGGTTGTTTATCGTATAAAATTTGTCACCAATCTCACCAACGGCCAGAACAAGCTTCTTCTCTTGGGAACTTTTTTTTAATTCATGTGGCTAGAAGACTCATTGTGAAAAACGGTGGTTTTTTTTTCGAATATGGCTGAGGCACAGCACTTAGTTCACGTCACCAATAAAAATATCCTTCAAAAGGTCCTTTCTGCACAGAAAAAGATATGCTGATGTGAGTTGATTCATCATCAACAATGAGAAATCCTTATTAAAAGTTGCTACAAAGCTATCCTTGCAACGTCATACTCAAAGTTTTGAATGTAATAAATGTAAAAAGCATTACACGACACACATGTCGGTACTCTACCTTGTACAATTTCAGCGTTCAACTCAACACATTCTCCGTCGTTAGCTTTGATTACCTGGCGAACTTTCTCTGTCCTGGAAATGAAAAAAGATAATTCGCATTAGATTTTTAAGCTTTCTCCTTGGAAATCAATAATATGATAGAACGGTCTGAATTCTCTGAACACCCACAAAAGTAGTATCATCAACAATAACTATAACTCTTGAGGAATTAGGATAGGTAAGTAATCAAGTAACTGCGAAACAAAACACATGGGAAATGGAGTCTATAGTCGCTTATAGCAAAGAAGCCCCATGTTTACTCTGAGAGCGTCTGGGGCACTAGCTATCAATTAGTAAGCACCTTCCATCGAAGATTTGCCCACACTAGACGCGGGTTAATATTACCAAAAAAGGATCCTTATGCTTTATGAGGTGCTACGCGTTGCCTTTCCTCCTAAAGGATTGCCGCATCATCGTGTATGCAAGATGTTTCTGGGTGTCCGGGTGCGATGTACAGCGGGGAATTCACTACCCCCAGCAGGGTCTTCTAAGCTGAAAAGGGTTCGATGTTTGCATCCGGAAGCCCAGCTAAGAGTAAACCAGTGCCAAGAATTATCGCCGTCTTAGTATTAAACAAGTTGTTTGGTAACAAATCTCCCTCTGATCCACCATAAGGGCCGAAGACTGCCTGAGGTGGTGGCGAACTGAAGAAGGCTTCGGCAAGGCCGACCTCGGAACTTCAAGAACCGCACTGGCTAAACCAGCACATCTCCGTCCTCAGTACGTCGCACACTGGACCCTCCAGACTACAGTCCTCTGTGGTGAAACAATCGGTGAGAGGCGATGAAGTCTCGGGTTGCACAGGACGTCACTGGAAACGAACAAAACGACCACACCCACGATACGCCATAGAGACCGCTTCTTACTGTACATCTGTAGCGCTGAAACAGTCTCTTTAGACACCGACGTTCACTAGCTTCTTAACGAATTCGCATCAAATTCCATGTGGTCGCCCTACAACAGACGAAAAGTTGGAAACCGATATACACCAATTAGATAACGGAACCGTTATAATTCGTGGAGGGCAATTTCGGTCATGAAATATCGAAGGCGCCCGCTTTTTCGTACACTCATCTATTTCCCATCTAGTCACTTCAATCCCATCGCCGTTCTTGGATATTCTTCGCTTGAACTTGCTCGTCAAAAGCAAGTCCATATTATCGGCTGTTACTCAAAAACTTGCGCAGCTGATGGAAAAGAACTGGACGAGTTTTATAACCAGTTAGAGGAAGTAATCTACAACGGGAAGTCCTATAAATTCGTTGTTGGTAACTTCAATAGCGGATTAGGAAGTGCCAACGAAAATAAATGATGGATAGAGGGCTTCAGAATAGAAGAGCTGAGAAAGGAATCCGTCATCTAGAACTCCTATCCACATTGTATATCTCCCATAAGAATCCATTTTTCAGAAGAATAAAGTCACTGGTGGACATGGGAGTCCTCTACGGGAAGGACTCAAAGCGAAATGGATCATATTCCCACGAACGGAAAATGGTGCTTCTCTGATAATTCGCCGGCACTTGGAATCCGTAGTGGATCAGATCACCGTTTTCTCCTTGCGGAGACTCGATTTAGTAATAAAATGGAAAAGAGCTGCTGCTACTATCAGAAAAAAAAAAACGAAAAAAATCGTGTATAACGAGGACATTCTTAGTAACATCCTGTCCTCATATGACTAACAGATAAATGAAGGCACAACCGAGGACTAAAAGCTGCTTGTGGAAGAATTTAAAACTTATACCAAACTCGTCACAGTTCCTTAAACAAGAAATTCAGATCGTATCTCCATTACGATCTGGGAGTTGCTCGAAAAGGGAAGAAAACGGAAGCTCGTTCCTAGCGCTACACATCTGGCAAAGCTGGTAATAAATGCCAGCTGGAGAAGATTTTTGCAGATGATCTTACATAGTAAAGTCAAAAAAAGTCAATGGAAACAAACGTTCGAGTGTCAAAAAGTTAGGAACAGTGCCACTACGATGTCCCGTTATCCGTCCTGATGAACGAACATGGGACTGTCATCCCGCCACGATATGGAATTGATAACAGAAAAGTTCTATAGCAATCTTTTTCGCTCCACAAATTTCGTCTCAGACCCGTAAATCTCGCTGTGGGAAAACCTTCGCGGATTTCATTCTAAGAATTTTGAGTTGGAATAGGCATAAACATGAACAGAGGCACATCTCCAAGATCCGATAATTACACCGCTGATTTTTTTAGAGCTGGTGGCCACAAATTACATGTACTTCTTGCGACCCACACAAGATCTTATTTTTAGGAGGAGAAAACTCACTACGTATGGAGCACTCGGACGATGTGTTCCGAAATTTAACCGGCACTGACAACGTATGGCCAGAATGAGCAACTCCGATCATCGAAACCTATCCTATCGTCGGAATCCAGGAGAATATACATAAGTAGCGAAATACAGATGGGGGTGGTCACGCAATAAGAAAAACAGATGACTATGGATGAAAAGAACAGTGGATTGGACAAGAGCATGCAAGCGGCCTGTTGGAAGACTACGCAAGCGATAGGTGGACGTATTCGTGGCTAACGTCAACAATTTGCACTCGCAGATAGAATTGATTCCAGGACTACGGAATGGGCCTCGCAGTCATCACCATGTTCGAAGCACACCACCACCATAAGCAATGACTGCGTGAGAGAGAACGAATGGAAATTGTGCCAAACCCCGCACCACCGTAAAAACGGGTCATCCAGTAAGTACCAACTAATTAAGTAAACGTTGCCTTTTAGGAAAATAAGATTGAAAATATAAGTAGAACTGAATACATGCAATCTCAGTTCTAGCGGTAGTCATTTAGCTAGGACTGGTTTCGGCGTTTCATTGGTTCAAATGTCACATCTATTAATCAGTGCTGTTATGTTAGGTATAAAATTAGAGAGCTAACCTAAACAAAGGTGGGATACCCTCAGCTGTCATCGAATCGGCAGGTTCGACTTCCAGTGACATCTGAAATTCTGTTATTCTCATGTAGTCCTGTTTCTTACCTAATGCAGTAACCCCTCTTGTTTCATGTCGCTTAAGTCAGGAAGTACATGTATGAAATATAAATTCAGGTAGCTAAAGCCATATGTTTAGAATCCTGCAGAATTTTATTGGCAATCTGACTACTTAACGGGCAACATCTGAATTGACTTAGTAGAGTGTCAATTAGGAATAAAATAATCAATGGTATATTTTCAATAAATTACAAAAGAAAAAAAGCAAAGGTACCTGTGTTTTAACCTCTCCACATTCATTTCTTGCTTCACATACGTAAATTCCTTCATCAGCTGCTGACAAGAAAGCGAATTTCAATGTCGCACATTCACCGTCGTACGACATGACGCACCTAATCAAAACAGTAATTTCTATGAACTTTAATTAAACTGCTTCTCTTTATTTCTCATCAGAGTCCCTCACACCGAAAAGAATTTTGCCATGTACACCTGGAAGACTAATAACATGACAGAGCATAGTGTTCCTTGTTGATAAAAACCCTTCGGATATTCTATGCAATCGATTCCAACCTTAAGGTGATTATCGAACATTCAAGACCTATCCACCAACGATTGGCCATCCTACTGTGTTCCATTCCCATTCCCGTCATTTACAGAACAAAGAAAAGTCAAAGTATATCCTTATAGTTTTCTGATGGTCATTAAATTTTAGTTAAAACATGTAACATGAAGACAGCTCACGAATAGTATCGTACCAAAGTGTTAAACGAACCTTTTACTATTCATATAGAATTCTTAAATACATTTCGATCATACAACAATAAAAACGACTTACCTTTGAGTATGTGGTAGGAGTGGAGTTCCATTTCGTAGCCATTTAATAGCTGGTGCTGGATATCCAGACACAGAACACTCAATTGATAGCGAATCACCGACCTTTGTCTTAACATAATTCGTTACACTCACTTATTTTTATCTCATCATCTACCTGATACCGTGCTGAATAGTAAAGATATTTGATGTGAATCCTGCTTTTCAATACTAGCGACTACTTTCTAATGCCTTTTTTGAGAAAGAAATTTAACAACAGCGGTAAATTTATGCGTTAGGAATGGAACCGCTTCCAACAAGACATAGTGAAGCACATAACAGTTAGATGTGTCTTGTAATACCGAGCTCTAATACGCAAAAATAGTAGCGTAGATGTTATCCAATTCTTGAAAGAGAAGTGAAGGTCCTTTAAAGGTTTATTGGTGGATAACGTGGAAAATTATAAGCTGAAGGTGTTGTTTTCTTGTTCAGCAATCGCGAGGTTTTTAACCAGCATACATTCACTTCCATAGAAAAACACAATACGATACAACATTAGCTGACGTTTCGGCAGTATCGCCTTTTTCAGAGCCTGGAAAGGTGTACTGATATACAACCTACTAGGCCAAACGCTTCAATGACACTTATAAAAGGACGAAAAAACTCTATGGTAATTACACGATCAACAGCTTCTCGAGAAACTCACCGCTTTTTTCGTGCCTTCCAATGAGGAAGTTTAGAACAGCTGATTATAGTCGCATATGGTTGGCGACTGCACCATTGCACATCAAAAATCGATGCGAACATACGGGATCAGGTCGCGTATGACCTCCGAGCATCCATCCCTGCTATTCAGTGTAGAGTTTTTGACACTTATCCAAAAAACCTCAAGAAGTTTTCGCGTTGGTGTTTTGGACTCTTGTGCAAGGATATTGCCTTTTACTTCAAAATCGTCTCCGCTGTGCTTTTGTATCCTATGCGTGCCTAGTGGCGTGCTTCGTCTTAGTTTTCGTTTGCCATCTAGGTCTTCTTTTATACGGATACACAAAGGTCTGCCCGTTTCGCCAATATATTCATCTCCGCAATTATTACAAGAGATCAGGTACGTCGTACCTGAACTCATGCAATCGAAAACACCAGCGCGAAAACTTTTTGAGGCTATTGGATAAATGCCAAAAACCCCGCAATGAATAGCAGGGAGGATTACCCAGAAGTCATACGCGACCTGATCCCGTATGTTCGCATCGATTTTTGATGTGGGATGGTGCAGTCGTCAACCACATGCGACTATAATCAGCTGTTCTAAACTTCCTCATTGGAAGTCACGAAAAAGCGGTGGGTTTTTCGAGAAGTTGTTGATCATGTAATTACCATAAAGTTTTTCGTCTTTTTATAAGTGTCATTGAAGCGTTCGGCCTAGTAGATTGTATACCAGTATACCCTTCCAGGCTCTGAAGAAGGCGATACTGCCGAAACGTCAGTTAGCGTTGTATTATATTGTGTTTTTCCATGGAAGAATATGTATGCTGTTTAAAAACCTCGCGATTGCTGAACAAGAAAACGACGCATTCATATTCCAATGCCGAGGTTAATAGAAAGTCGATCCTGGGAACTATAAGCTGAAGGTTAAATGGTTTGTCGTGCAGGAAGAGAGCAAAGTTCCGCTGTCAAACCAGTGATTTCCTCTCATTGTTGACTTGAGCATTTAAGAAACCTTTGAAATCTAATTCTTCACAGTTCTCATAAGTTAGAAAAAGGTTTTTAACCGATGTAGCTACAATCAAAGTATAAAGCGTCTGGCTATTTGTGCTCGAGCAACCACCCACACCTCATTACTCTCATTATTGCAAAAATAGACCGAAGTTTTCTATAATAAATATGAAAAAAACAGTGGTCAAATTAAATTACCCATATCCAAATCATGGGACCACATGAGTTACGTACCTTCATTTTTCCAGGCAACACTTCCACAAATGCGGGCGCTCTCATTTCTCTCTTGTGTTTTCGTTTATCCTGTTGCACCAAGGCATCCTCAGCGGGTTTAACCACCTCCACCTGAAGAGAATAGAAGTCAAACAAGCACCTTGTGAGCAAAAAAAATATACTGAACTAAAGAAAATTAAACCCAAAAAACCTCGGATGAACAGGTTGCGATTCCCTCGCTGTTAGTAGCAGTACAGTTGTAGAACCCTTGATCGACTGTCGATACATGATGGACCTTTAACACAAATTTTCTCATAATTTGCAAACAATATCAGTGATATGTATATCTAAAAAAAGAGAAGCAATCATCACGAGTATTGTAATTAGGAATTCTGAGATACAAGCAAAATTGGCGGCCTCAGGTAAGCTTCGAACCCACAATTAAAAATACCACGGCCTCATATGCTATCCCCATCAAACAAGGTCACTGCTTTACCTTTCTTTCAGCCATTTTTTAACTCTGTCGCTTCCATCAGCAATCAACCGTGAATCCCATGGCTGAGAGAAAGACAAAGACCGATAGGGGTAATCGCGGGGTCGAAGTCTAACCGGTGGCCCCACGTTTTGTTCACATCTGAGAATTTTTATGGTAAGTTAAACTATTATAAGTATACTATATCTCACGGCTTTTAAAGTCTAATAAACTCCATCTATGTGAAAGTGAACGCTAACCTCTAGATAGTAGAAATCCCCATCGTTGTAGATGGAGTACTTATTGCCAGTTTCCAGTACAACTCCATCACGATTCCAGCACACGGTGGGTATAGGATTAGCAGAAATCGCGGTCTTCAGTCGAAGTGACTTGAATTCTTCCAAAGCCTAAAGAAGTGATTCCCAAACTAAATCGAAGTATGGAAATCTATGACAGCATTTTTGCGGCCCACGTTAGGCTTTCATTTGTGATTGGAAGTCGTCGAAACGCAAACGTTTTCACTTTGATACTAGTGCATTTGGCAATCATTTTCGATAAATGGCGATCATACCGAGACCATTGCTTTATCTTATTACAGGTATATGTCAGTGATAGTGATATTGTCATCAACTCATCCATTGTTTCTCCTCGAAGTATAACAATAGTGAAGACGAAATCAAGAACAAAAACTAAGTTATACCTTCTTCGGTCTTGGTTTCACCATAAACTTCGGTCTGCACATGTGCTGATTTCTCAGCTGAATGCTTGAGCGTATCTCATCCATAGCTGAAAGGAAGGAGAAAGTTGAAGCTTTTTTCGTCTATATCAAACACTGTCGATCTAAGTCTAGGAATTTGTAGCAGGAATTGATAAGTAGTGGTATATGAAGTGAAACAGTCTGATTTAAAGCGATAAAACGTCTGGTGTCTTTAAATAATCCATAGTAAAAGTATAGTATATTCTTAAAAGCGGTGAACTACCAAACATCTCGGGTTTCTGCTCCTCCATGCTCTGCCTTTGTAGCTGCTCATCAGCATTTATGCCAGCCACAACGGCAGCCGCAAATTCTCGGACCTCTAATCGAGCTCTCTTTGAGGGCTTATTCTCGGATTGTCGATGGCGAATCTCTAAACAAATAACAAAGTGATAATTAGAGTAAATGAAACTATAGCGTAAGTCTATGGCAAAAAAAAAAACATGGAAATAACTGGTGTCGAAGACTGTTAAGACGAGGAATTTTAGAAGTTCATAGTTACAAACAGTATTAACGAAAATGCTATGAAATCCGTGATATAAATGCTTGGTCACCACATTTTGGAATAAGCGAGGCATATATGACTCATATGCAGTGAAAAAACTTCATCTTTTCACTTTAGACAAATATATTCCTTCTTATAGTAAACTTGATTGAATCTGAAAGGAATCCTTGGAATATTTGGATCACTAGAAATAAGACAAAACCCTTGTCACTCTACTGAGACTAAATTCTTAATGCCTGGAGGTCACTAATTTTTTTCGCTTCCTTTTATCAAGACACTTATTACAAGGAACCACACGATTAAAAAAGCGGAATTTCATCCGACAAGGTGCTTCGTCAATATCTTTGGCTTCTGTATTTACCTTAAAAATCGAGATTTGCTTATCGTATTAATAGTTTCCATTAACCATGTAAAAATACTATAATAATATAGTATCGATATCGATAAAAAAGATCGATAGAAATAGCTGAGAGACGTGCGAAACAAAGGACCCGCATGGTGTGGTGGTGAACGCGTTACTCCCCG